CCTCTTCCTCCATGCAGCTTCTACTTCGAGAACTGTTTCTTTATTCCTCTCATCCAATTCCATGAAATTTTTCCAGTTGTCCTTTTCCTTCCTTAGCGAAGCTATGTTTTTGTGAAGGATGCTTCGTTTTTCTGGTTTAGCTTCTTGAGCTATTTCTAAAATCTCCGTAACCTGCAAATCAAAACAAAATAAATTCAGAGGAAGAAACCAAGGAAGCCTTGAAGGTGACGTGCAGTGTATGAAAGTTCTCGGTACCAGTTACAATCTCCATCCAGTCACAATCGGCGATTATCGACTAGTGCGGGAGTGTAGCGCGGGCCGATTAACGGACTCCGTATGTAAAGAGCGATAACGTAGGAGAATACATCAAGCATACCCCGCACCCGCAAAATGCGGAAACTGTAGATCCAATAGTTTGAAGGGTAGTTTCATACTCATACCACTAAAACTTTCGCAGGTATGTTCCCAATTAACTTGTGTTTCCAAACATAGACGCGTCTAATGTTACAAGAAAATACACTTACAGAAAGAAGAAAGTATAAAATCAGTTTTCCAGAGAAGAATGCACTAATATTTCATTATTGAACACATTACTACCTGCTCCAAAACTGCCAGAGAGAAGCCGCTGACAAGGCTTCCAATAGAGCGCGGTTCTGTGGCGCTCCAGTGGTCCGTGGAATCGTGACAAACTTGCTCCATGTTTTCGAAATGTAATCGAGAATTTAGGTCGTTTGCTTTTTAAACTACTAGCCTGTGACTGCTGTAACAAGCATGGAAAGGACGGGAGCACAAGACAAACAGTAAACTGAAAGGACTTTCCTATCACATGTCGCCCCAACAACAGACAAAATGCTGGCTATTCTCAGATACAATTTTGGCCCCATGTGCTGGACATTACGATCAGAATACCAGTGGGTATTTGTTGCTAGAATTCGGCACCTGCAGCTTCGACGAAGAACACAAGACGAATGGTAATAGTAGCCGCGTATGCCAGAATTAAATTTCAATGGTGTAAGACCACCAACTCAGACACCAGTAAATCAAAAGAGGCGGGCGGACCCTATGTATGTCATCACGAAATTTCAACAACGATGGCGCATTGTGGAAATTGCACTCGAATTGTAAGGATTTCATTAGTACTTGTACAAATTTAAACGGTTCATCGCAACCCTCAAAAATGCCGAATAGTCTTTCTTATATTCTCCTCGATTGCAAAGATAGCGCAGTACAAGCACGACTGAGCCGATAATGGAGTTGTTGCCAGACAATTCAAACACCCTTTGTGCCATGATCCCTGCCATGATCCTGGAATAATAACGCTTTTAGCGGTAATTAAGGTACGGACCAGTATCAGCTGAATGTGTTTACGTATTGACATAAACCAGGAGGCAAATTTACCGCTTTATCAATAAACGGCGTCATCAAAATAACGGTACACTTTCTTTCATGAAAGAAGCTAAACTTACGAATACATTAACTTTTATAAGCCGGGAACTGAATGGTTTTCTTTTGATCTCACTTACTGCAAACATTTGATGATTTGTTCGTTATATAAAGTTGCAGAAACCGCCAGGAAAGGATTACCAAAAGCATTCACTGTAGCCCAAGCCGCCAACGCCCTATAAACAATTCAGAAGAACCCAAGGCCGATTTGCATGAGAATGTCCCGCGCACCTAAGCCATCGGCGCCATCCTTGTCCAAATAGCTCTATCCAAACAGATTCACGCCCCTCTATTTTATGGTTAGTCGATAACAGCGCTTACTGCACGCGCGTATCGGTAACGCCCTTTTTAGTCCCATGTAAAGTGATCCGGATTCTGGCAAATTTTTCTTGTGCAATCCAGAATCTTAGGCTTTAAGATCCGGAATCCCGTAGCCTGAGTAGCGGGTGGGGTTATTTAGGGCAAAGGCAGAATCCAGCGCCTACCAAGCAGGCTATTAATCTCGCTAAAGATTAGAATCCGATTGCAATTCCACAGACTAGAAATCCGGAATCCAGTTCCTTGAGTCCGGAATCCACAAAGTGGAATCCAGAATCCAAGACTGTCTTGGATTATTTTACATGGGGCCAGTCTCTTTCACACTGCAAGCACATGATCAACCATGACTCTATAGTGGTAGTTTTGCTGAGAAAATAGAGATTGTATTGAGGTTTTGAAAAGGCAATGACCAAACCTAACCGCTTAAACTATTCAAACAAAGAGGGTCTGCTGTAAGCATCTATCAAACTGAATAAAGTTAAACTGAATGCGTCTCCAATCACGGCAATGTGCTCATTTGTACCATCAGAACGGGAATGAAGTTATGGCATTGCAATCATGTACAAGTAATTATAGAGTGGGTGCTGTTTAAGTGCTTCGTTTCGTAAATAATATATACAAAATTCAGTTTATCAATGCATATTCGCAATACCAGGCCATATTAGTTCGTATTAGCCCTGAGGAACGATGGCAATAGGAACATTACTATTTGAAGAAAACCTGAAAGGGAATTTACGATGTTGATACCCCGCCGCCCCGCCCCCGCGCCCGCCCCCCACAAAAAAAGAAAACAAGAAAATGAAAGGAAACAAATAAGAAAACGAAAGAAAACTGGTAGTAATAGGTTAGACAAACAAAAACGTATACGAGTGGAAAGTAACTATAAACAATAAGAAAGACAGTTAATTAAAGACGGCTTATTTTTATGCGAAACAAAAGAATGGTGTACGTGCAATGTATCTTTACAGTGCGTGGGACTCAATCGAAGGCTGAACGCAAAAAAGAATTAAGTCCATTAAGGCATGACGTTAGGAGATATTGATCTAAATTTGTTTTTAAAAAGGCGTATTCGGGTCTTAGGTGGATAAGCATTAGCTTCCGAACTACTATTAGTTTACAGAAAGATAATAAAATTGATCAAAGATAGATCAAATTTATCAGTTGCAGATAACATATCGGAATCGTCGATCTCTCAAATTTTTAAATTTCATACCGTATTCACTGAATTTTGTGAATATTCAGTGAATAGTACCTGTTCAAGAGAATTCATGATGTTCTTCGAGTAATTTGCGGAGTGTAGGGGAAACTCGGTCATCGATGTCGTGATATTCAGTCAGCAAGAATGAGTGTCCGGCTGACTCACGTACTAATGTTCAATAATGACAAACTGGAATAAAATGAGTCGTGTTGTGTTCAAGTCATATGTAAGTCATGTGTTCAATACGACAAATTTAGACTTCTTTGTCACAAGTTTGACCATCTCTAATTCAGCACTTGCAGTATGAAAGACAACCAGTTAACCGATAGTGATGGCTAATGGAGGGTTATTATACCAAGGTCTCGCTACCCCTGCTTTAAAATTTAAAACTCTGCTGCCAAAATGCATGTAGCAATATAATATTTAAAACAGTTAGACTGAAAGAATTTTCCTTACCTTAATTTCCTCTGAATTTCAGAATTGTCATGGTTCCTCAAGATCCGCGTCGACACACTCAGGCAGCTGAATATCCATGCATTTCCATTTTTCACCGACTAAGAATATTACTTGGGTACCAGCGTCTTGCATAAATCCATACATAATAGCGTAACAATCAATGGCAATTTCTCAGCCACAGCAGGAAAATGTATACGCTGAATCTCTGATAACCGAACGCGGCAAATGATAGGCTGTTGACGATGATATTTTGATTTTTGCATTTAAAATAAACGCATCTCTCATGGATTCTTTTCCTTTTAATAACCATTTTCGATAACACTGAACAAAAACAACACTAAGTTGTTTTTCACCGCCGATGAATAGCAAAACAAACTGCTTGTTCTAATAGTGTGTAGTGTGAAGCGATGTTCCTTTTAAATGAGGTCAGAAAAATATTTTGATGGCAAACATATTTTACATTTAATAACCGCACAACCAGCTACTATTAAGTGGTGAGAACTGTCTGTAAAGACTTAGTAGGCCTAGTTTTTTTCCGCCTTTTAGTATCTCTTAAATGTCCAGCTCCTTTTAAGATCTCTCAATAAGGGCAACGATGATCGATTTTTAAAAGATATTTTTGGCTGTTGTTGTTTATGTAATGCAATTTAATTTAGTTAATGGAAGAATCTGGCACGCAAGCAAAGCCATTTAATTTGATAACTTTGATATCAAAATAACCTTCGGAAACGTCTCAAGGCAGCAAAATGTGTTTTTATCCACCAACAACTGATTAAAAAAGACAAAGTCAGTACGTAAGTATTCTAAAACGACTAGAGAGCCAATGATGTACAAGCGTTCAAATAGAGGAACGTTCTTAAAGAATTAGTGCCCTACTTTTCAGTGAGAATAAAATATATTTTGATTAGTAAAAGCTCTGAATATATAAATACTCCAACATACTGGCAGGTGCCAGTCCATTCCTGACCTTAATCTATTCTAAATATATGTTAAACTTCACAAACTCATCAACATTCAATACGAACAGAGTATCCAATTGGAAACACGAATTTATCACATGCAAGGTTGAATTAGAGAACACATGAAGTTTAATATAACCTCTAAACTGGTCATCAAATTATGGAGAATGCGATAGCAATGAAAAAAAATTGAAAAAAAATTAACCCAAAAATGAAGAAAGAGGCATTCAGTTATTTCACTTAGTTAACCTTAACCCTACAGTTCTCTGTGTTCCAGCTTTGTTAAAAAACAAACAAACAACACGGAAGGCAACAACATGGACATGGCTATATGAAAGCTACAGCTTTAGCTTGTTAATTGGAGAGAAAAGCAGTTTCCGGTTGCCTCAACTTTGGGATGGTTATGGTTTTGCACCGTTTTACATTTCGATTGACTCAAAACATCTTCGATGTGTGAAATTTCTTAACCAATCAGAAGTGAAACCGAAACCTACCATGAATAGTACCCACGCGTTTTCCCGCGCTTTTTTTGGAGATTCTATTTGACACTATACGTATTGTCTCTTGGCGAGAGTTATATATATTTGCCCATGGTTTTTTAAAAGCGTTTAAGCTAGAAAGTCACTCTACATGTCACTAGGCCTCTGCCACTTGTCTTTCATATTCAACCTACAGCATCGATATTTATATCTCGTTTGAGATTTGTTGGATCCACTTTTTCTTTTCAAGTAAAACTTCTGCAGTAATTCGTTTGGCCTGCAGTGGACATAATGAGTGGTCAGACCTTTGATCATTTCGTTCGCCTTTGCTCCCCAGTCTGTCTCAGTATCGCGGCAGACCAAGCGATTGTCGAGAACGCGACGGACAACTTCACCGATAACTTCTTTCTCCCTTTCAATTGCTCTTTTCAAGGACTGTAGGAAAGAATAAAAAAACGGCGGTGACAAAATGAGAAATGCTAGCGGCCACCAATCAAATGCAAGGTGAAAATGAGTGCCCGGGAATGAGCGGCAGTGAAAAAAGTGAACGAGAAAGAAAAAGAAAACAATGAGAACATAAATAGGGTTTTTTGTTTTGTTTTTTTTTTTTTACAGTGTGGAATATTTTTGATCCCCATTGTTGCCAATAACTTTTGAAAAATCTTTGGGTTTTGCATCAGGTCTTCTAAAAACTCAATTGGTTTGACACCCTTGTAAAAGACGGTAACTCAAACAACAACAACAACAACAACAAAGAAACAATACCCCGAGCCCCCAAAATAAGAACTCCTGTTACACTACAGAAATCTTTCGGTGAGCTTATTGAACATTGTATATGGTCAAGAAGGGTACGATTGGTCAGTTTCACAAGGTCCAAGGTTACAAATCTTGAACGTTTTATTCTTGAGCTTATATAATTATAGACTCCTCCGTGCGCAAGCAACTCCTATTGTAACGGTTACACTGACCGTGAGGAGTTTGAGGACGAGAAAAGGTGAAAAAATGAGGCTGGATTTGCATCAACTGTCACTCCCCGTTCTCTCCCAATTCTCCCACTCGTTCCCTAAAACAGAAATGATGTCAAGCCTGCAGAGGAGGCTAGCGCTCATAAACTGTACTGACTTCTACTTCTGAATTATACCCTAGCCGGAGTATCAGGGAGGTGTTTCCTCTAACTCTTGAGGAAGGCCTGAAATTCAGGTTACTTATACCCAAAGACACAAAAATCCTTAACACTCGGGGGGATGCCCTCCCAAAACGCTGATTGATACCTGTCACTCACCTTTTGTCCCTTCTCGTGGTGGGTTGTTTCACGAATTAGGTTTTCCAGCGAAGCAAGCTGCAGTTTTTGTTTGATTTTGTCAGTCTGGAAAACAATTTCCCCTTGAAGGTCATCCCTTTCGTAGTCATCACCTTTTTCTTTGAGATAAAACTTGATGTTATCCATCTGCTTCTTCTGCTTTGTCATAATTGCCTGCTGCTGGGCTATTTTCCTCTTCATACGGGACATTTGCGACTCGTACATCCGAAGCCCACGTATGATGTCATTGTCGCTAAGTTCACGCTGATGATAAGAGATAAACTTTTACCCTTTAAGCCCCAATATCCACATACAAATTCTCCAAACTGATCTCTATACATTTCCTTTAAGAATTAGTTAAGAGAATCTGATAAAAGATCAAAGTATTTCCTCTTAGGTGAGCATTTTATTAATTCTCATAACCTCATTTCATGACAATGTATTGATATCGTTAGGAGAAAATTGCTGTTGGTCACTATTGGGACTTAAAGGGTTAAAAGGGCAGGAGCGCTGCGCAGGTTTTTATCGGAAACACCTTTACGGGTAACGCGTCCAAAATCAAAATTTAGTAGTGAACTTTCTTATGCATTATATGACTGTACTACCACAAGGGTGCTTTAATGGAATTTCTATCACCAAGGAAAATAAGTGAAACCTCGAAAAAAAATCACGGTTAAGATGATATTTTGGACTTTCTTTGGCCTACGGCAGTTACTTTATCTATTTTTACGGTCAACAAACTGCAAAAGAAGAGAAATCTATTGTTGTGAAAAACTTTTGCATAACTTTGCAACAAAGGAACTAGCCCGCGAACCGCAGACGTATTTCCGGTCGTCGCTACTCTCGGAAATACGTCTGCGTTTCGCAGGCTACAAAGGAACCTCTTTCAGGTGAATAACTGCTAGTGCTCTTTCTTTTAAGAGGTCAGGACTGAATGTGGATAGCAAAATCTATTATTTTGGGCCGAAAATGGGTATATTCACTTTTGAAATGACCAACCGGCGAGGGTCTCAACAGCCCCCCTTAACCTTCCGCGCTTAACCCCCCCCCCCCCCCCTCCCCCCCCCACCCCCCCCCACCCACCCCCACCTTACCCCACCCCCCCCCCCCTCTCCCCACCACCCTCCTCACCACCCAAAAACGAACACTCTCCCACCCCCACAACACCGTCTAATATCCAACTCAGCACAACAACACAAACAAAAA